AACTACTACCTACGTTCTACAACTGTCGTCTGTCATTTTACAATGAATAATATCCATAATAAATGTTTTATTTACCGAGTCACAGTAGTAAGTTGTTAGTAAATTAGTAAGTAATATTGTTATCTATCAAAACATTTTCAGATTCTGGCAAATGTGTATTTTCCTGTTGCAATTAAAATATAAGAATACAGTCTGAATAATCTTCAATTTTTAGAATATTATTCTAAATTTTATATTTATATAATTACCTGATCACCGCAGTTATTTTGTATATCAATTTTTTTATTCTGTACATTTTGTAATCGATGTTTTTTTATTTTAGGTGCACTTAACTTACGTCTAGCTTTTCTCCCATAACGCCAATCTTTACCCATTTTGTAAAAAATTAAAAAGAACACAAAACTTACAGACAACCTTAATGATCGGCGTGTTGTGTTGAAATCAAATGATTCATAAATCATAGGTAGTATTATTATATTTTGTATTTCCTTAAAATTTAAATATATGTGGGTTGTATTTAATTTGGAAAAAATATAATTATTATTATGGACTATTATTATTGTCGCCCATTAGTAATGTTCTATAACTATCCAATAATCCTTATCGGCTAATTGTTTCCGACTTTCCGAGAATCTATCACGGACCGTCGGCAGCCGCGAGCCGCTGTGCCGCCGAAATAAACTATTGCACGCGCAGGCACATGTCAATACTTTACGAAAAATAAAATATATTCATGTTTGCAATGCTATAAAAACTACTAAAAGCGGTAGTAAATTAAATATACTACCTGAAGTAATTTTGAAAATATGGTTGAATATATAAACTTCTAGACTATGCTCTTTAGGAATCACTTTTTTTGATTTAAAATTAGATGTGCCCAAAATAAATACAAATGTAATGCAATTATTTCATGAGATTTTTGAAAAAAAATCGTTATTTTAAGGTCCTTTAAAATTGAAAATTGAAAATCGACTTCCTAAATAACTTAGATATTTTGTCAAAGAGTTCATACACGTATAAAAAGTTAAAATCGGACATTCCGAAGTATGTGTAATTTACTACCGCTTATTGGTCTAAAACGCACGAAAAATACGTCTGCTGCGTTCCCCTTAATACAATTTATAGTTAATAAACTATATTCACCACTAAAATGTTTCTACTTTTGAAAATTTCGGGGACGTCCGGACCCCTGAACCCCCCCCCCCCCAGTTACGGCCTTGCACGTGTTTATCAACACATGTACCAAACCGAGAGCCCTAGTATATAGTATATAGTTGTATACTAAAATTACCTTCTAAAATTAGGCCTATTCTAAAATAGTGTTCAAATCATAGACCTCATACTAATGCCTTAGTATAAAGTCAATGTTCAATATAGGTGTTGCTATTTAAAAAAAAATATTTTACTACGCATGCGCGTACCGAAATGATAATTTTAAAATGGATCTATATTTGTATATTTATATATCACTAGCTTGTAAAAAAATTTGATTTATTCCAATATAATCTGGCCGAGAAATTCGTTGTTCTCTAAACTGATGAACATACTCTATATGATTTATAATAGGAATGGTATATATATATTATTGATGGGTTGAACCCTGATTTTTTAAATCGAACCGAACTTTAAATTATTTTTTCGAACTCGAACTGAACTAAACCATCATATTTTTTACCGAACCGAACCGAACCGAAACTATTATGATTTTAATTCGAACTCAATATTTTTTATTATGTACATTGTACCTTCCTACAAATTAAAACAACCATAATTATTAATAACAATTGTATTTTAAGTTTTCGTATTACCTATTCTACATTTTAACTTTTAAGTCTAAGTAATTGTATTATTTACAATACCTACATTTCAATTTTAGATAATTTATTATTCTTCAAAACCAGTATTGTGCTTTCTCATGTTGTCTTGTAGCTTATAAAATATTCATTGAGTATTGAGTGTAATATGACAATTCAATCAGTACATTTTAATAATATATAAAAAGTAGTAATAATCATAGGTGTGCGCAGACTTTGTCCGCAGAGGGGCCCCTTAAAAAAGTGAAACAAAGATTCTTGTACTAAAGACTACTAGTATAATTAAATATTTTAAATTTTATAAATTATTTATTTAATTCAATATGCAAATATAAAAATAAATACTATTTAAACTTACACAATTTATATCTAAGAAATCCTTATTTACATATTATTATACTATTTACAACTCCATCCTTCTGTCCATGGGACTAAGGTTTTTGAATGTATCAATTACATCTTCAATTTTTATATTATATGCAAGTTCTGATTAGTCTGATTAATAACTAATAACTTTATTACATTTATTCACAGATATCAGTTCTATACTATAAGATTAAAACTGGCTTTACTTTATTCATGTAAAATGTAAAAATGTTCGCTATTTTGTATAGTGTAGATAAATATTTATTAAAGAAAAAGCTAGAGTCCGCAGGGGGGCCGCGGCCCACCCGGCCATCCCCGTGCGCACGCCAATGGTAATAATAACTATAATTCATAAATATAGAATGATTAGTAGAATTTATAATGTAAGACGTAAGTTGTAAACATGTTTTTATTAACAGCACAGTCGCGGTATCGGAATATTACCATGGATTTACCCAAAATAGATTTTAAGCTCTACAATAAATATGATAAAAACAAAAAGAGCTATATTATGAATATAGATACACTGTCTCTATTGGTGATAAACAACTTATTAATGTTTTGATCGGCGGAGGGTGGATGTGTAACAGGCGACTGGAAAAATAACATTATTATTATTATAATAGCATTATTGTTATAAATAATGCATAACGTGCTCGCTACAGATTATCACTTTCTATCACTAATAGTCTAATTCAGTAGTTCCCAAAATTTTTTTTCCGTGGTGCCTTTTTTTGGACCCAATCAAGCCACGGTGCCCTGACTGTGAATAACATCAAAGACAGAACAAAAAAAAATCTATTGATAACCAATTTTATTAATTTTAATAAAATTTAACTTAATTATAAATTAATGCACTTATAAATTTAAAAATAGATAAGTAAAAATTATTGTTATTATAATTATAATTATTATACAAAAATATAGGATTAAAATGAGAATATCTGATTATACAATAGAAAATATTACATTATTTATAATACATTTTTTACGAAAACAATAAGGAAAAATCAATTTTACACAATTTTAACTATTTGTTATGATCGCGGTGCTCTTAGAAAGTGGTCGTGGTGCCCCTAGGGCACCGTGGTGCACAGTTTGGGAACCGCTGGTCTAATTATTTCTAAATAATCATTATCAATTTTTATTTTTCAAAAATAACGTTTGAAGAATTGTACAAATATTTGGTTTTCCAACTATCGTAGCCAGGAAGTCTAGTTCCACAAATATTTTCAAATTCGATTTTCGAACAGTAAAAGATGCTCGATTTTTTTCATACAGAGTTCGAATTTCGAACCGAACTGAACATCAAGGGTTCGGATCGGTTCGGTTCGAGATTCGAACAGTTCGACCCATCACTAATATATATTTATAATTTTTAGAAAAATGAATACGAAATTTATAATTTATATTATAATATATGAATCTAATTTGTAATTTATTAAAATAATTGGCGTGGTCGTATTTATAAGTTAATTTTATAGTGTTTTTATTGTACACAATCGTATAAATATAACTCAAATTAATGGTTATTTATTTATTATTAAATAAAAAAGTCTCCGATTAAAAATTAAATTAAATTTGTGTTTACTGTATGTAAACAACAATTGGGAGGGGGACATGGAGCACGTGCCCTGTTACCTATCCTTGTATCCACAACTGACCATAACGTACGGACTCTAAATATACGTGTACACGTGTATTTTAATTACATGCACTTTAGCATCGTTTCTATACAACACGTACAGGACGTGTTCTTATATACATATGAAATAGAGACCTCTAGTATACTATATACCAGGGATGGGCAACTCGAAGTTACTAGAGGGCCAATTTTTAGAAAATTTAAATCTAGCGGGCCAAAGCATAGAAAAAAAAGAAAAAAAGAAAAGAGGGTCATTCAAAATATGAATTTTAATTAGTATTTATATATATGGAATTAATAAATTCAACACACACGATAGCATAATCCGAATGGTACGAAGAAACTGATATAGTTAAATAGTTTAGTAACAGCTATGGTTGAAAGCCATACTTATATATTCATATGACATTTAGACATTTAACGATGTTTAATACTAGATAACAATTATTATATTGATAAGTTAGAGCATAGACGATAAACTTTAAAATTGTATGATATAATTTTAAAATATACTACGGACCAAATAAAAAAGGCTTACGGGCCGGATGCGGCTCGCGGGTCGCCAGTTGCCCACCCTTGCTATATACTGTATATCAACTATGATTCCAAATTGAAAATTGATTGAATATAAGCCATTTCATTATTAATAAATAATAAATTTTTGCGGTTCATTAAAATGCATAAAACTATTTATAATTATTTATTATTAAATCGAACGATGAAATAGATAAAAATTATAAAATAAATTTTATTACTTTGAGTATAAATATATATGATAATATTTTTCCAATTTTAACGAGCTTACTATATTTAAATAAATTAAATGTTCGCATAAGTTACCCAAGTACATATTAATTATTATATTAATACAAATACTTAATTTTATTAGCGAAAATAAGTATAAAAAAAACTACAATAAAATGATTCAGTGCAATTTTGGAGATCTCTTTAATAATAAAAATACTAAATTTAATTAATAAGTAAATAATATTCAAATCATTCTTTCGAATTATTAACAAAAAAATTTAAAATAAAATTACCGTTCATATTTTGAAATTTAATTTTATTACTGTTATTTAATGAAACTATTTTAAGATAAAAAAAATCACTTAATATTTAAAATAATTATGTAAATAATTGAAGTATTTTTACATATTATGTTCTATTTATTCCAGAAAATAAAGAAGTTTTGAATAATACCCTGGTGATGTTTGAAAATTGTACTATATCTAGATGTCCGTTAAAGAAAAACAGTACTATGCACATTGAAATAAAATTTAAACCAGGTTTGTACTAAAAAAATCTGTAAATAATAATAATATTAGGTCTAACTGACTATTATTGAAATATAGTTAGCTATAGGAATTTTATCATACCATACTATACGTATATACCTATAGTTGATAGAGTTTTTTCAAAAACTTTTAGTCATAAAATTTAAATTTCTGATTACTATTTACTAAATTTTTTATTTTTTGATATTTCATGTAATCTACTCCATCGACACTTTTTTCCCCACTACTCCCCATTTTTTAAAATTATGATATTATTTTTTTCAATTTTTTTGCTATCGTTTTAGTAGCCTATCTATAATACCTCTTCTTTTATTCCACATGCCATCCAAATATTTTATATCAAATACACCTCTCCTTCCCCTCATACATATATTATTTAAAATGTTATTATAAGAATATATTATTTTAAATTATATAGGTAAGACTTTACAAATAATATATTATTTAAAATGATAACATATGATACCAAGGCCGTATCTAGAAATTTTTTTCGGGAGGAGTCCACAACATGTATATTGTAATGTTATTGAATTTAGATTTTAACTTTTGATATTTGGTTTAAAATAAAACAGAAAAAGATTTAATCTTCTTTTATTAAAATTAATATCATATTCTCATATGATATTGTGATATAAAATTTAAAGCAGTCAATGATTAATTGGAGCTTAAGTCATTTTTAACTGAAAATATTTATGTTGGTATTAAAAATAAATAAGTATTTTAAACATTTGTAAAATATTGAAGAAATTTCGGGGGGGGGGAGAGGTTCAGATACTCTGGACCCCCCTAGATACGGCCATGTATGATACATACATAAATATATACACACATAAATATTTATATACAAAATTATTTAAAATGTTATTATATAACTATATTATTCAAATTATTAACACAATAACATTGTAACATCTGGTTATCTAATAGTCATTTTTAGAAATGTCAATATATGCACGTGTAAATATCATCGATTTATTAATCAACATTAGCGAATCATATAGAAATTCTCCATTCATAATGATTAGAGCCCGGATTTATATGCAATTAAAAAGTGTCAAATATGATGTTAATATGCAAAGAAAAAGTGGCTAAATATGAAATTATGTTATACTTTATAAAATGTGTTGGTTTTTTTAAAAACCACACTTTTATACCCAATTAAATTCTAAATATTTTATCAAAAACAAAAAAAAAAAAAATGATAATATCCACTTCTTTATATTTTAAATTATTTAAATTAATCTAAAACTTTTAGGAACTTAAAATCGAGAATAAAAAAAAGTAATGAAAAAAAGAAAAAACTGGATGAGCCTCGCTCTGCTGTACATTATGGGGTGGAATGCACCTCGTTTATAGGATAGGTCATTACAATAGATTTGTTAAATTTGAATGCAATGATAAGTATCATTGTATACGAATAACGATTTTAAACGGAGATGATTTGTTAGATACATATAAAAAAAAATTATTATATATATTATAAATTATAATAATAATCTTATATATAAAAAGCAGTCTTTCAATAATTTTCTATTTGGATATAATTTCTATATAAATATCCTATAAAACTATGTTTAATTAACAAAAAATGAGTCAAAACGACTCATATAATTTTATTTGGAAAAATCGAATATTTCAAATGCCAATAAGTTGCTTAAAAATCAGTATAATATTTTGAAAAAAATACGCTTAAAGAAAATGAAAGAAAATGCCAAACTTCATAACTAGTAAAAGTTTCGAGTTTCCGCGACTTTCACTTTTTGAATAATAACAAATATTTAAAATCATTTGAGGATAAATCGTTAATTTATACAATTTTTTTTTTTTTATTGTGTTATATTTCATAGTCCTAATAGAAGTTATGAACATGTAGTTACAATGGATTAATTATATTTTTTCGAATGTAACGAGAGAAAACAATTGTCGAACGAAGCAAGACAATTTATTTTAGGATTAATATCCATATTTTTTTAGTGCGTATACCCATAAATATATTTACAAATATGGTAAACTGGTTAATCTGGTTGAAGGTAATATACGAGTATATACATTAGAACCCGTTTAAGACGCTCTCGCTTAAGACAATTTCCCGGCTAATACGCTTATTTTTACGAGTTCCATGATTTTAACAACATTTAACATGTAATTTACTCTGGATAATACGCTCGTATTGTCAATGATGTTCATATAAAAATATATTGTATATACATATACATTGTATAAAATTTGAAGAAATACCTCACTAATAATAACGATAACCAATAATAACAAATAGTAACAAATGCTCTTGATCATGTTAATGAGCTAAGAAGATTAATTCCATCTTTTGACAATGCTGACGAAACTTTACATCATCTTAATAAAATTGAAAACTTCCTGTATTCAAAAAAACATCAAAACTTTGAAACAGTGAAAGATGGACGATTTTTGAAATAGGTAATATAAATGTAATAATCCACTCTGCAAAGTAAAAAATATAATTTATATATATATGTTACCGGAAAAGATGAAAATTCAGGAATTGTCAGTATATTCTAGTCATTGTTGACAATGACAGGAAAGGTTAGGCAATGTTGGATATTTCATAGTTTTATCAACATTTCCGTATTGTAATTAGGCAATGTTATAAATCCGCATTTAAACAAATATCAACACCGCTTTATCGGTGATCGATCTGATTATGGAACATTCAAGTCTTCATGAAATATATATTAATTTTAAATGACGAACATTTTTTTTAAATTTTTTGTGGTGTTACGAACATAACATTTTTATGGAGCCCTAGGCAAACCATTGCGGAGCACCAAAGGCTTCGCGGAGCACAGTTTGGGTACCGCTGTACTAGATTATATAATTCCAAGTGTCATAGTAATTTACCACGTAATAATAAAGATTAAGATTATGATTTATCCTAAATAGCTAATAAGTATTAAAATATATTAAATTAATTTTTAATATTATTATCAATGCCTTCTTTTATTAGGAATTGTTATCAATGACTAGGTTTTGACATTAATTCCTTACTAAATCAGGCATTATCGTTATTGACTAGTCATTGTCAACACGGACTGATTGTCATCTTTTCCGGTAACATATATATAATATGGATGTATTGTGAAATACAATAAAATTTTTTGTTCCCGCGTAATACGATTTCCCGCTTAAGACGCTATTTGTAACTGGTCCCTTGGAGAGCATCTTAAATGGGTTCAACTGTATATATAATATTTAAAATATGTAATATTATTTTACATAGTATTGATTGCTAAATACTACATCTGAAAACGTTTTAAAATTTACACTAATTTAAATAATACAAAACATTAAGTTGTTCATAACGTTGTAATTGTCAATAATGGTAAACAGAAATTTTTTTAAACGTCTAAATTTGTATAACGTTTAAAGGCTTAAATTGAATAACGTTTAAATTACTTATAGAGTTAAACGCTTAATTGCTTATAACGTTTAAATGTCCCATAATGGTAAACAATATATATTATTTCGATTTAAGTCCTGGTCCTTAATTAATGGAAAATCAAATAAAACATAAGTGAAACTTTCAAAACACAGATAGGTATTATAAAATAACCACACAAAAGTCCATTCAAATTGGATCCGGCATTAGATTAAAAAAAAAAAAAAAGAATAAATCAAGAATAGTTTAGCATAAACTAACAAATTTGGCTTTGCTGCATGTGCATAAAGATATTATTGTATCCATTGATGAAACAATCAACAAATTTGCCAAAATGAAAAAAAGAAATTTGAAATTTGTTATTTGACTACTTATTAATCTTATGTTTTCCACTCAGATATTTGTTAAATTAAGTTACCTATCTTAATTGTTTTTTAAAGTTTTTAAAAAATAATTCTTAAGTACTATTACTACTATGATTATTTGTTGTTATTTTTATACAGGATTCAGACTGAAGGTACGATTTTAATATATGAACTATTTGTGTTGTTATTATTAATACTTATTTTATATGCAGTAGGTTTTAAATATATTTATTAAATAAATATTTAATTAAATTTTGTACTTGTATTTTTATTTATTCACTCGAAATTATTTTTAAGTTTATATTAAAGAAAAATTAGTTCCCCTCCCACCCAATGGCCTCAACTCAAATACGCCCTTGAGTCAACCACTAACACCGTCTGTGACATTTCAGATCAGTGGCTGTGGTTAAAAATCCGTATACATTCGTATTTTTCCATTAGCAGTGCTGCTAAGAAACGCTGCCAAGTGGCTACGTGTGAAGGGCCTTTAGGTGACCAGATGTTACAACGTTATTGTGATAATTATTTTAAATAATAGGGTCTTATTATAACATATTAAATAATACTATCAATGATAATTTATCATTATGAATGGAGAATTTCTATATGATTCGCTAATATCGATTAATAAATCGTTGATATTTACACGTACATACATTGACATTCCTGAAAATAACTATTAGATGACTTGATGTTAAAATGTTATTGTGTTAATAATTTGAATAATATAATTATACAATAACATTTTAAATAATTTTGTATATGAATATATATGCGTATACAGGGCCGTATTAGTGTACAAGCATTGTGTCTAGGGCCTATGAAAATGCGTGGCTACAATTTTTTTGTAGTAAATTTAATTGGTATAAACATTTTTTTTATGGTTTTTGACAATTTATATTATGTATATTTTGGATTAAAATTATTTTTTTTTAACAAATTAAAAATTTTATCGTATAAAAATTTATAATAGTTATCAAATAAAAGTTTAGATTTGATTTTAATGTTATAAATATTATTGTTTTTACAAGCTTACAGTCCCTTATTACATTCCCAAAGAGAAGGTTTCTTAACCATTTAAATACTGGACAACGGCCCTGCAAGTTTAAGGAGCTTAGGGCCTACGATAGTGTTAATCCGGACCTGTGTGAATTTATATGTATGTAGGTGCGTCTAAACTCCACCACAAGTACCTTTTATTACTGTAAACT